GTGCTGTTCATGATATTAATATTGTGTGTTCATATTAAATTACTTTTCATAACAATACTTCATATATGTGCAAATTTGATATCCACAAGAATATCCATCTAATTATTAACCGGATTCTTCTGCTAATTCGATTTAACAGTTATTGATATATAATAACTATTCTAAAATTTAAATAATTTTAGTTAGAGCATCATCATTCAGATATATATTCAACTAAGAATCAAATAACTGAATTTAATTTTTAGTTAGATCAAATATTAGAAACTACCAATGTATATTTTTTCTATTTATTATGAATCCAATTAATGAATATAGTCTTCTTATTTCCAAATTAATTTCTTGATATTGTCTCAATTCTGCAAAAAATAAACCTTTAGCTTTCTCAATATCGAACTCATCTCCCAAAGAAGTAATAAAACTGCTAGGAATGAATAAAACTCTCTAGATATTAGCTCTATCGTCTTAATTTTTCTTAAAATATAGTGCTTCACCTTCGATATTAAGATGCATTACATAACTATCAATAATACTACTATTTAACCAAGCTTTTGATTTCATATTCAACTTTAATTCATCGCTTTCATTTATTTATTGATTATATTTACACCATATTTTTTTATAATTAAGATTATTCTATCTAATTCTAGTTTAATACAGATCTAATTGTTTCCTTTTTTCTATTTCTCTATAGTTTAGCCTACTATTTTGAGCTGAATTTGGTCTTGCAATAATTTTTTTCTAGGATTCATCTTTTTATTTATTATTTTTTATTATTAATTAAAACAAATACTAGTCGTTTTTTTATTGAGGAATCTTAAAATTAATATTTTATGTCAAGTTTACGATGTCCATTTTCTTTGAAAAAGAATTATCCTACTATTTTTTATTTTAAATTATTGAAGATATGTTCAAATATTAATTATTACTAATAAGAGCTCCCTTGAAAAATCTTCCAGATATCTTGACTATATCACTTTTTCCTTAATAAATTGTACCTTAACCATGTAATTGAAAATTTCTATTACTTAATGAGATGAACATTTTTCCTTCAACTGTTTCGAAATTAGGATTAAGATTTTTATCATACTAGGTTTTATAAAGCTTTCCAAGAGCATAATAGTTTGTTTCTTAGGTTTTTAGATCTTTTTCTTCTAATATTCCTTTTGTATTGCAATAAAATCTAAAATTTTAATGTAGTACTAGTATATCATACTTGTATTCGTCATTTAATGTAATTAATTGATAATTAAATAGCTAGCATTATTAAAAAAAGGAATTTTGCTATAAATTATTCTAAATATCTCGCAATATAGCTTATTATTCGATATCCTCGTTATTCTTTGAAGGAAATAGCTAATTATTTTTACCTAACGTTCTAGATTTTGGTGATATCATTTATTCTTCATATTTAATTTTTATTTGTAGTAATTATTGTTTCAATAATTTTAATTTTAACTCGATGTTTGAAATATCACTTGATATTTATGATTATAAATTATCGAAAGTTGATTTTAGTTCCTATTTGATTTTTAAATCTTAGAAGAAAAATTTTTTTATATTTTGTTACTCTTCCGTTAAAATTGATTAAATAGCTTCTTTGAAATTTTGCAATTGATTTTCTAATTTCTCTAATAAATTGAATTTAGCTGTCTTATTCTATCATTTATTATTATTAATCTTATGATTAATAATATTTGTATATAAATACTTATCATAAAATATAAAAAAATAATTAAGGAAATATATTTAAATATAATTAATAAATGATAACTTAATACCAATTTACAACATTCTAACTTCTTAATCTTTACATCGTTTTAGGTTTTTTTTCAATTAAAATGGTTAATGTACAAATTGGAAGTTGGATAAAATTACTGGATGATGTCTATTGGTATTTTAAAAGATGCAAACTTCATTAAATCCACATATAATTAGGATTCAGGAGGAAAACATTTTATGTTTAATATTTAGTTAAATCATCCATTCTAGTCAAATAAATGAATCACAACTTTTTGGCATTTTCTAAAATTCTGAAATTCAATTTAATATATTTGCAGTTAGGTTTTAATGATAAAAATTGAAAAATATAATCATTAAAAGATGTGCTTCCAAAGAGATTATTTAAACTTAATGTTAAAGATCATAATATAATTAATTATGCTTTTCAATATTATCTACATAAAATTTAAATGACTGTCCATTACATTACTCTATTTTATAATCATATAACAATATTGAACCTTCAAAACAAAAATGTTAGTTTTAGGTGTTGAAATTTATGTTATTATTTTTTTGGATTGAACGTTAGGCTTATCAAAAAGGTTATTTCTTTGATAGGGCCCTATTAATATAAATCTATATGATAATAATAATATATATCTTTGAATAAGTAAAATCATAGAG